ACTTTTAAATTATGTCCTGTCTTGGATTATCCTCTCCACCACTTAAACACATTCCTCCCCAGTCCAGTCCTCCTAGCACTTCTACACACTGCTGTTATACAGCATGTATCATGGAGCCTTATCAGCATTTGTTTATACGTCTGTCTCCAGAGTTATGATGTGAGTTTTATGAAGGTTGGGACTGTGTCATTTCATCTTGATATTCTCAGCCTCCAACAGAGTGCCTGAGTATGTGTTTGCCCAGTTAAACCAAATACTGATTAAGCTAGTTGCCTGAGAGAAATCCCTCAAAAAGAGCATTTTATGTTGACATGATAGGATTTTAAATCAGAGGAAACAGTCTATTTCAGACCTTTAACATTCTCCCGACATTACTATTAAGCCATCAACAGATAAAATGATTATATCTACCAAATGCACTAAGTCATTCATTGAATAGATATTGTGTCCACTTTATGCCAGAAAATCTTCAGCTTGCTCCTTGTCAGGTAAAATCCTCTAATGGGAGAGTGAGGGGAAAAGTAGAGTTACACATAACATATACAATAATGCTGTGGGGGGGGGGGGGGGGGGGTAAGGAAACAGAATGACCGTGGAGGAGAATGGAGTACCCTTCTAGATGGGGTGACCAGGGAAGCCCTTCTTTTGTCCTTGTTCTTCCTCCGTTTCCCTCCACCCTACTAGAAAATGGGGCAGTCTTAGAAAACACCCTGAGGTTTTAAGGACTGCCCTGAGCTAGGTCTGATTCTTTAAGTAAAGATGGAAGAAGAGAGGGCAGCTTTCCTCTCCTTCCCCCCATTTAAGGCGATAAAGCAGAACAACTTCTAAGGGACTTGGAAAAGGCTTTCTTGCATCCTCAAAAGTTGTGAAGGAGCCACTGTGAAATCTTGGAAGAAATTAGCACTCCTTTACTAGTAATAAGAGCTTTGAACTGAGAGCAAGTATCCAGGGTGCCAGTCCACCTTAGCTGCTGCCATTTGGTGATAGATGGGATTGGACTGGTATAATGGGAGTATGATTGCTTAGCTGACATCAAACCTAAAGGAAACTTCAAGCATCAAGCTTGAAAATGACAGTCTCTCCTAATTCCTAAAACATTCATAATTAAGGAGGATCAATTTTTGTCCGCACATGTTATAAGTTGTACCTACCACTCAAAAAATATATAGTCATAGATTTTCATTCTGGAAAATAAAAACATATCAGATTACTCACTCCTTGTTCAGTTATCACTAAACATGCTACAAAAGAAAGTTGCTCTCCATTACAAAATGAATCTTTATCAGTAGACTATTTAAAAAAAATAAGTAGAAGGCAGCTACTGACTTGTCATCAGTCTTAGTTATTTTAGTGGTAAATTTGAACTTGCAGAATGTACATTTTCTGAAAAATGCTAGCTGAAGCAAACAAATTATAATCTGTTTGTATGGTTATCTATGTCCTTGCATTTATTTACCTTTTCTTCTCTAACTCTTGTAGACAAAAGGTCTTAAAAACACCTTGCAAGGATTCAAAAATCTTTTAAAATCTTAATACCTACTTTAAAGATTCTATGTCTATCAGTATAATTAAACTATTCTCCCCTAATCACCTTCATATATCATCTATCCCTTGCCAATGATAGTCACACAATCTGCAAACTAGGGAATGTATCTGTACATTTGTTAGCTGAAAGAATGTGTGCTTAATGTCAAGGATCTACAGGTTTATGAGCTCCTAGATAGAGCTGGTGAACCATTTGGATACAGCTATGCAGCAGACAGTAAACAGAAATGACTAAATACAGCTAGTGCTCTTATTTATGGTAGATAAGAGGAGTAACAGCAAACCAATGTATAGTGACAGACATAAAATTTCCCACTGATACAAAATGCATTTTCAATGCAACGTTAAATCCCTTCTAATTTATAGAGGTCTTTGAAGGGCTGATCAGGAAAATTATTGGTTTATAAAATGTAGCTCAGTAAATTATGGGCTAGAAGTTGCTACTCTCTTTCTTTATGTGGGTCATCAACATTTCCATAACAGGGAGTGGAGAGAGGTTGAGGCTTAAAGCTTGACGTTTGAAACACTGGCCAGCTGAGTTGAGGGTGGGGGGGTGGGGGGCAGGGAACACAATCAGAGGCTTTCAATTGTGAATTACATTTCTTTCCCTACTTCTACTTCAGCCCCACCACACACATACCAACTACTGACTGGAGACTATCAGCACCACTCCACTCATCAGAAGACAAAGTGAAAAGTAGTTTATTTCTCCCTTGGAAAACTTGGGGACCCGTTGGTCCACTGTGTGCAAAGCACTTTGCTAGGTGCTATGTAAAGGTGTTGAGGGATGGTGCACTATTTGAGGGCAGTCATAAAAGATTTATGAATGTACTAAATAAAAGCTTAGCATGGGTGTGTCTAGAAATTGAGTGCTGAAGTCCCTTTAGACCCCTGGCGTGTCTCTAATGAAGCATGAAGGTGTTGGGGCCAATATCAGTCCACAGCATTCCCTCTCACCACCACTTTTCTCTTTTTCTCATGCACCAAACAGAGCATGAGTAAGAACACTCACCTCTTTAGTGGTTTAGGAGACCTGTAACAGGACTGGCTGGAAGATGGAGAATTTCTAAATCCTACAGTTATGTTGTGAATATATTCCCCAACTTTTACTTCTTTGGTCAAAACACTTTTCACCTCTTTCTGTTGATCTCACTTTACAGTTCTTCACTATACTTCCCTTCAGCATCCTCAAATTTCCCATTTTCTAATCATTTTTCTTTCTTCCCCTGGAATTATATCAAGCAGAGCTGGGCACAGAACTCTTACATGAAGAAAAGCTCATTGCTAGAGAGAAGGGAAAAGATTCACTTGCAGGTGCTGGAAGTTATACTTAGGCCTCCCACTGCCATTGTTCATGCATGTGTGTATTTTGCTTGTTGTTTCTTAGATGTATTAAAGTAAAACCCCTGAAATAAATTAAATCTTGTCTACTATAAATAGTAGACTTTTGTCTTGAACATAATCAAAGACAAATATGAACCCAATAATAAAGCCACTCTTGGTGTGGTTAAAAAAAACATACAGGGAATTTTCCTGATGGTCCAGTGGTTAAGAATCTGCCTTCCAAATACTTAGGAGTATATCTACCTAAAGAAACAAAAGACCTATAAATAGAAAACTATAGAACACTGATGAAAGAAATCAAAGAGGACACAAACAGATGGAGAAATATACCGTGTTCATGGATTGGAAGAATCAATATTGTCAAAATGGCTATACTACCCAAAGCAATCTATAGATTCAATGCAATCCC